ATTAACATATACTACAAAAAATTAATTAATAATAAACGCTAGTAATATAGAGATTGAAACGTTTTTCAGAACTGAATGATTATTTAGAAAATCGAAAGCTCCATTGGTGTGTAGGATTGTCTGAAATGTGAATTTTTAATATTTATTTGGGTATTCAAATAAATTTGTTACGTTATTGTTTTTTGCTTACCATTTTTTCAACGTGAATATTAAATGTTATATAATCGAAGATGGAGTTCGTCTTGAGAAAATGTCTTTTGAAAAAAATTTTTTTTCTTACTTTGTTGAGGGAAATAAACAAGCTTTTAGTTGGGAAAATATTTGTAGCTATGGTATATCTGCGCTGAGAATATATTTTTACTTAGTCTTGGAGAGCCCTTTCATTTTACCTCAGCAGTAGTGAAAATGTGTGGAAGGAATTTTTAATAGAGTACATACATTGTATCTATATTTATATATCCACTCGGCACTTTTCTGGTTAATACGCTTTACTTTTTCCTCAAGGGATGTTTATCAGTGTGTTGACTTTGAATGTCACAACGATCCTTCCAAGTTTCAAAATATAATTATATTAAAGCTTTACAGTTTAAAAATTCATTTACGTATAGTTTGAAAAATTATCAAATGTTTCTTTTAATGAATAAAACATCGGTAAACAATATTTATTACAATATTACTATTTATTTTACGAGGCCTTTTACGGGATTAAAAAAAAATTCCAAATGAAATCTTCAATTTGAAATAAAATTTTGTTTATTTAAAAAAATATTAATTTGCAAATAAATGCTCTACATGTTCATTGAATGGAAAATGGAGTATTAAACTCGTTGTATATTACGAATAATAATAATAACGGGTGTATTTGAAAAGTTGACGTTGAAAAATAAAAGGAGATCGAGTTAAATGAATGGATATGGCGAAACAAATAAGAATCAGTGAACTGTAATGTGCATGGACAGCATTAATGATTTTGGATGTGCTTCATTGGATGAACTATCGATTTGATATATTGTCTTGCAAAGCACGATAGAATTGTACATTTGCACATTCTCTATTGTCTGTACAGTTTAGAATTTACGAGAACCTCATTTGGCAAGAGAAAATGTCGAAATAAAAGCTCTTTAGTTTTGGCGAAACACAAAAGTTGGAATTGAGGAGTGTGAATGTGAACAAAATTGTAAGTTTGAAAAACACACTGGAATTCGTGAAACATCAAAAAGAAAATTGGAAGAGAGAAAGAGAGAATAAATAAAATGAGTCTGAAACTACTTAAAAAGTGACATAAAAGCAAATAGAGAAATTGAATAAAAATAAATGGAAAAGTAGAAGAAACTCTGAGAAATGGCAATAAAAACCGAAATATCAAAATTAAATTGCAACAAAAGAAGAAACTTGTTTAGAACAAATCGTGAATATTTAATGAAAAAGACAATTTGCAGTTAACTTTATCAAATTCGGAGTCATCGCTGTCCGATAAAAAGCAACTTCCGCGTTTCTACACGAGTGCAAAGTGCATCGATCACTCAACTAGCTCAACCTAATGCAGCGTTGGTAATGTAATTGCTTCCCCTGAACATGTTCACGTTTTAAAGAAAAACATTTTTTTAAAAACCTTTTTTTATTAACATTTTACATAAACATCGACTTGGCTGTTTTGTTAAAATTAGAAATTCTTTATAACAAAAATGCTTCGGTAATGTCGTTTAGTTGAAATATACTTGACAAAATTATTTTTTGAGTAAAAAATTTCAAAAATTTTTCTTTTTACTTTTTTTTGTCTTATTTTGACAAATAAATATTTTCGTTTTTCTTTGTTATTTTGATTGGGTAAAATTTAATTTTGAATTTTTCTGTGAAACTATTTAATTTATATGATCAAACGAAGTTTATTCTCCCTGTGCAATTAATCTAGCCGAAAGAAATATTGAAACTTTTTCTTATTTAAAAGTATTTTTAACGAGTTCGAGACACAATTGGACTTAATGAAAAAAGAGACAAGAAAGTAATCTTTATTTACTTATACTCGTTTCTTATGAAAAAGTAGCACCGCTTATACATGTATATATATATATATATACTATTATTCAATTTAAACTTTCGATGAATATTACTTCTTTTAAATTAAAATTTCTACTCGCCTGTCCTACTTTACTCATACAGTTTTATTTGGGTTGTACAAATAAAACACAGCGAATAAAATATACGAGGTATGCGACGTGATTTTTTAAGTCCGGGCATATATGCACTTTCTATTTTATACAACAACGAACTTAAAATTTGATATTACATTACTTTTTTTCTACTGAAACTTTTTATCTATTAAAGACAAATTTAATTTTAATTCAACTGGATTATTTTTCTTTTTAAATTTTTGTTAAAATCTGAAAATATCTTTTTTCAAAACTATAAAGAAATATTGAAATAAAAAATTAACGATGACAAAAGACCGATTCTTTAGCAAGAGAATAAATGGAAATGATTCATCTGTCAATATTAACTGAAACGAAGAATTGTCTGACTAAATACCGATATTTTCTACTTTCGGGTCACCAGTCACTATACTAATCGAGATTAATGTATACGACCAAATTTTTTATACCTATTTTATCAGGAAAAACAATATAATTTTTAAATTGTTATATTTTTTGCAATTAGACAATTTTTTTTAATTTATTAAACTCGTGCAACCCATTAATTTATGTGTTATTTTAATATTAAAAGATTAACTCAAAATCTTTAATTGAACAGAAATTTGAAATTTGATACAAATACCATTTAATTTACTCAAATAGATTATTTGAATCAAATAAATTTATATCAATATCAAAAATATTGATTTAATTAAAACTTTTTTTTTCAATAAACGGATACAATTGTATTATCAAACAGGAAAAAGTAAATATATTCACTTTTTTGGTGAGTTGCATTAATAAAATTATAACATAACTCCAAAGTATTTAATAATTCACTATAAATTAAATATATAAAAGAGTAAAAAAAGTTTGTAAATTTAAATAGAATTTTCGATCAAAAGATTTTAGAGAAATGTTATATAGTTCTTTAATGTAATACAAAGTGAATTAAATATACTGAGAATTCGAGAAAGTAAAGTTATTCGAAGAGGATAAAGTGAATCCTGGTATATGTCTTTCATTTACACAAGATTTTCTGTTAATCCCGCTTGGAAAATTCCAAAAGACAATAAAATCCTCAAAAAAAAAGAAAAAGAAAAAACTACTAACTATATACGGCCTAGATTTATTTCAGATAAAATTTATTTCTATGTAAATTAAAGTCACTTTTTATAACTCGAAACCGAAGAAAAAAATTTATTTGATTCAAATAATCGGTTACTTGATTATTATCAAAGAAATAAAATTCAAAATTTGTTTATTTGTGAAATATTTTTCCATTATACAAAATTTTATTTAATAAAAGTAATAAATATATTTGTTTATTGTGGAAATAATAATAATTAATTTCGCGTTTGTCTATTAAAAGTAATTACACTTGACAGGATCGCCATCAGACTATACACGTTCTAATGGAAGTCAAATAGCAGCTTAAATGGCTTCGCTTGTATTATACATAAAATCAATTTTTTTTACATTTTTTTCGTTATACAACATTTATAACTTTCTCGATAAAGATTTTCATAAAAAATAGTATACGGAAAGTAAAGGACGTTCGTTTTCCATTATGAGAACTCTTTTACGTTCGTTGTTCTGGAAACAAAATAACTGAACAACAAGTGAGAGGTGTAGAGTGAGATATAGTAGTACAGCGAAAATAGGAAAACATTTCTCTATATAACTTTGCAAGTAGCCCTTCTCCTTTCACGTCAATTTTTTTCTACACTCTACGCGTTACCTTCTTTTCAGTTTTTTTTTTTTTTTTTTTTTTAATTTTATCTGTATAATGTTGAACAATGTTATAATTTGTGCTTTCAGATCAGCTTAAAGTTTATCCATTTCTACTCTCTTATAATACAAATGAAAAACATTACTGCCAACTGTATGTGATGTGAAGCTTTTAAGCATTACGATAATTATATATTATATTTTACAATTTAGAAATTTATAAAAAGAAGCATTAATGTTTAAAAATAATATTTTAAGTATAAAATTTTTTTTTTCTCCGAAATTAATTTTGAAACTAAAATGTCCCTTTTTTCATGTTCATCTCGTTATTTCAACTTAATTAAAGAAACTTTTTTCATGACAAGATTTATAACGCGAAGTTGTTCCTTTAGTTATTGTCAGGGGTGATCTTTATACAATGATTCATAAATTTTTATGGCATTTAATTACTTCCATTTATGTCTTTTTTCAACTTTCCTCTAAAAAAAATGTTATTCCCCCAAAGAGGAACAGAATTCAAAATTGAATATCAATTTTTATTGACAAAAGTAAATAAACTTTTCTCATTTTTCAAGAAAGTTATAACGCATTAACAATTTTAATAAGAGACTTTTAAAATTAAAAAAAGTCTAATTTGATTTTTTAATAAAGGAGAAAAGAGATTACCAGATGTTTTTTTTTTGGAAAGAAGTATCAAATTCCTCGCGAAGAAGTTAGAAAACGAAAATTCGAAGCTGAGTATACCCGGGAGATTCACATTTTAAATTGGATTTTTTGTACAACGAACTAGATTTCAAAGCCTCAAGATTAAACATTCAAAAAAAAATAATTACCAATCAATAGTTGAAATGAAAGTCGTATAAAAAAAGTCTCATATTTTCTTTTTTACATTCTCATCATAAATGAGAAAGTATTCAACTTGCTTTTTAAATTATTCAAAATACAATTTTTAAAAATATTTAATTTATAATAATGTAAGTGTTAATAATTTTCTACAATATAAAAACATTACATCCGGCTTTTCTCTTCACAATAAAAATGTGAATATTTTTAAAATAAAATAATAATAATAATGACTAAAAAGGTAAAGGGAACAGGAATGAAAAAAGAATGATGGAGTGCGAAGTAAAAAAATCTGAGAACGAAATAATCCATGAATTTATTAAAAATAACACAGAAATTCAAAGTGACACAACAAATCAAGAAATAAGCCGCTCTACAACTGAATAATAATAATAATAATAATAATAATAATAATTAATAATAATAATAATAATAATAATAATAATAATATAGTAGCTCTTGACAATTAAACTTATCACAACTGTGGAAGAACCGAAGACATGTCTTCGAGATACTTCCTTCTGTACTGAGATGCTATCACGAAAAATGGTATATAACGCGGATCTCTAAGTTCTCTGGCGCACACATCGAGATTATTCGATGTATCGACCTGTAAGCATCACGCGACACCATCTAATTAATTCAGCGAAAAAAGCTTTGCTGATCCAATTTAAAAAATATTATTTTAAATATTTTACATCACACCCAGAGAAATATTTTATCGGCGTTTATTTAAAACAAAATAAATATTTATTTGGCTCTGAGAAAAGTATATCTTTTCTCTAGATGCATAATTTTATAAAGAATAACTTTGAAAAGGTTCCTTTTTTGTATTAAAAGATTAAGAAAATTTTGAAAAAATATTTTTATATATTTAAAAAAACAAATAATTGTTTTTAAAATAAAAAGAATGTTAGGAAACTTTTTTTTCAGACGAAAAACAAGTGCAATTGAATCAACAAGCTTATCTGCGAAAAGAGCAAAGTATTTTAGTACTTTAACAAAAAAGGTACACCAAAATTATTGCTTATAATCTGTACAGTAAAGTTATTCATAATTCGTCTAAATAAATGGAGAAATTTTTTTAGTTAAGCTCTCCGCATTGAATTGGCTCGAAGAACGAAAAACATTAGATGAATAAAATATTTTCTTTCCTTTTTTTTCTTTTCTTTTTTAACAATTGACACTGATCGACTGTATACCTATCAGAGAAACTCGTCTAAAGGACTTCTAACTCACGTTCCGAAGTAACTTATGGTAGTTAAATTAATTACGATACCGATAAAGAACAGCAAAGGAAAGAGCTCACGCTTCAAATTTTATTTTCATTTATAGTCGTTTCTTTAAGAAAATATCCCGATTTTCTTTATTATTCTCGGGATCGTTAAAGCCACAACTATAAATTTAAAAAAAAAAAAGAAATACAAAACAGTTTTTCTCAAATCCTACGTGTACAGTTTCGTTTTCTTTCTAAACGAGATTTATATTTAATTATTTTTTAAAAATAATTTTTTATATTTTTTTACGCTAGAATATTTTTCAAACTTTCATTGAGTATGCTATTTATTTTACTTATTTTTTTTCATTTATTAATTTTGTTTTTAATTTGATTAAAAATTTGTAAAATAGTATTGTTTTTTGAAATTAAATTTTGTTTATTGAACGTTTGTTAAATTTAAAAAAAAGAAAATAGTAAAACAAACTTTTGGGAAAAAATTTAGACACAGGATTTTTTTATAATGATTCCTTCTTATATTTAATGAACTTTTCTATAAAGGGATCTTTTTTTAAATGAATTCTTCTAATTAATCTTTTTCTTAATTAATCGTCATCTTATAGGCACATGTAACGTACTCGACAGTGTTTGTCTATATGTATAACTAGAAAAACAACAAGTTAGACTTTACAATAAACATCTGGTAAATAGAGTAAATTATTGAAAACAAAGGTGTTCATTAATAACATTTGGTGCATTTCTGATTCTCGGAAATACTGTATTCATTATGGATTATGTTAAAATTGGAGTTAGCTATTAAAAGTGCTTTTTGGTGCATTTGGCATTTTTTGGTTCGTTAGTAAGCTCATCGCAAATAGGAATTAAAGGCATTTTCAAAGAGCTTCACTTTCAAAAGACTTTCGATTTTCTCTTCAAAGGGATTCCAATTTTAAAAGCCCTTTGACCTCTTTTACTTTTAAATCGTAACAGCAAAGATTGTTCGTATATACTATAAACATCTGTTAGATGTATTTTTTATTTGCCCTTTTTCTTTTTTGACTGCTCCTTCGTACATCCTTTTTTCAAACTAATGGTCCAAGCAAAAAAAATTGGAAACCCCAACAATCTCTTTCATCTTTTCCATCTCAGAGTCAGACATTCCTCTTTCAAGTTTTATGCAGAAAAAAAAGAAAGAAAGAAAAATTCACTGATCTGTTTTTCATTTCTTTCCTTCTTTCGATACAAAACGAGACTCTTGTGAATTACGAAGCAATGTTTGAGACAAATAGCCTTTCCTCGCATCGTTAAAAGTTGAACAAATTTTCCGTCTCTTCTCCTGGCATATCAATATAGACGATTTACGTAAGTGTATTCCAAATGCATCGTTAAACTCGCGTTATTTATTATTCTTGGCCGAATCGATATAATTCTGCTCGTCTTTTCTCGAGTGAATTTGTTTTGCAAATTAGGCACCTGCAGATTTTCGCGGAAAGTAGAAAAAATACATTTGAAAATTACCATTTTTTTTCTTTTAAATTTTTTATCAATGTATAAATAAAATGACAATTTTTACAAACTTGGTGTTTTAGTTTAAAAGGTGATTTCTAACCAATATTTTTTTTAAATACTGCCCTTTTGTCAACTCAAATGTAAACTTTTTTGGAATTCAAATTTATTTATAATATTTTCTTCTTCTTTTTATCACTGAGTTGTAATAATTGCACAAGTTTTAGGTGCAAAATAAAAGCAGTCATCAAATGCCGATCATCTTTTTTTTCCCGTGTCGATGTTTACTCGAGGCAACGTCGCTCGCTCTAATTAACACCATTTTCTACATTAACGATGCGCACTAATTTCAAAATGCGAGCCAAAAGTAGAGGTGGTTGATTGTAAAGAAATGAAATGTCATTGGTTATAATTTTCATCTCTAATTAGTCATTTGCAATTACAATTAGGGGTTTCTTCTTCTTTTTTTGCATTTTTATATATAAATTGATGAAAATTGAAAGTCGAAATATCAAAATCTGATAAATCCATTTTTCAAAAAAATGGAGATAAACATAAATTTAATATTTTAAGGACCTCACAAATCTTCCTGTCGCTGTTAAATTTAAGAAAAAAAATTTGTTAACAACGAATTTTCAATTCAAAAACTTTTGGACATAACCAAGATGAGTTATAATTTTTATGTTTTTTATTAAAAAAAATTACCAATACTTGTAAATCTTTAAATTATGATAAAGTTTAATTAAAAACAGATCGTCTTGAATATAAAAACATTGTTATAGAATTAAACTATTACAAATTTTATATTTTTAAAGTAACTGCAGTGGTTATGTGAGAAAAGTCATTTGTTTCAATTTCTCGAAATAAGAAAATATGGATTTATCAGGTTTTGAAAATTTGCTCCTCAAATAAAATGTTTCTAAATATTAATAACCGACCACTGGTTTTTGACTCGTAGATTGAATTTTAATTGGACACAGTAGTGTTCCAGAGGAGAAGTGCTTAATTTTAAGATTAACTCTACTTAAATATTTCTATCTATCCTTAATTTACTCATATTATCTATTATCGTAAGGCATGGAGTATGTTACTTGTGTCGAGTGACCTCACTCCTTCTCGTTAGACTTTAAAACCTAATATGTTTTATACCTATCGGTTGAAATATTTCTTCTCGTCGATCCTAAACCAATTCGTTGGAAACTATTTTGGTATATATCTAAATATACAGGTAAAAGTATGCATAAATATTTCTCTATATCCTATCGAACGGAGAAGGGGTTCCGGCGACAACTCACTCTTTCAAAATTCTTTTAACTGTTTAAGCCGATATATTTTTTCTCGCATCCATTGCAACTGACAGAAGATGAAAAGTTTATGAATAATAATTCGGCGGGAAGCACAAATAAGGTCTATAAATCATTAATTAGAATTTTCATTTTATACAATTTCATTTGACATCGTTATTTTTGAGCCGAATTTTTATTTGTTCAAATTATTATTTTGCAGAATTATCATTAAACTAATTTTATCAAAAAAAAAAAAAATTGGGCTTAAAAATAATTACATCAAATAAAAATTCTAACTAACGATTTTTAAAACTTATTCATGCGTTCCATAATAGAGGGAAATTTCGAAAGAAAATTTTAGTCAAATACTGGCAGACTTTTAAATTTTCAGCAGTCATGCGCTAATAAATATTTAATTGACATATGTTACGTCAAAATTGTGTTTCTAATCTGAATAAATTGTCCTGACAAAATATACGTCTTTTGAAAATGAAAAGAAAATGCTTCTGAAAATCTCGAATAAGTCTAACAAATAGACCACAGACACAGTGACATAAGAATGAAAGGAAAATAGTTTTCAAATATGTATGAATGTCTTTTCTTTGAGGGAATCGTTTTCTTCAAACAGTTTACACTTTTACGATTGAATACCCAATTGGCTTGGATGCAATATTAGCAATTCTAGCAGTCTCAATCGTCGGTTATTGGCAGGCCACTTGTGATAAAATGCTCGTTACACTACAATAAAATATAGCCAGTAAAGTACGCACGATTTATTTTGAGGATCAATAACAACCCACAAAATTCTTCTCAAACGATTCTTCGTTCAAAACAATTTCACTTGATGAAAACATGCACTTTAATCAATTTCCCGTAATGAAAATTGTCTGCCAGCAGATGAGACTTTTTTCACGCAAAATTCCCAATAGACTTTAAAGAATGAAAGTACTTGGATCTTAATGCCGTTTTCAAAATAAAATGTGTCCATTTTTTTGCAGTAAACTTGATTTGAATTCTTAAAAAAAATTGAGAAATACGTATTTTTTCATTTATGAGAAAAGAGTAATTAAATTAATTTTGAAAAGATTGAATTTAGCGAGAGGCAATTAAATACGTTGATCTCTCCTTTATATTGACAAACTCTTAAAGTGGAGAATCAGTGAGCGAAATGGGAACAATTTGTCAAGTTGGTAAATTGAACCTATCGTGGGTTTATTCTCGCCTCGAACTCTGATTGGAATGGAATTTGTTTAGTGGTTTTGTGTGTCTTAGGGTCTCGTTCTCCGTTCGATTGCATTTCGATCACTAGTCGTATGAACTATCCATTATATAGGCGCTTGGTATACGCGAACGGGTCTTAAGAGCCCAAATCGCAAACTCACCATCACAAAACTTTTATTATCGCTCGAAGAAGTCGTCGTACCTACTATATGGTATAGCTATTTACAAACGTTCTCTGCGAGAGCGACAAAACTACGCGCGGGATTACTCGATAATGAAACTGTTCGTACAAATGAATTTTTTCACTTCTAAGTGCAGCCATGACCCTCACGTGCTCGATCATATTAATAATTCTACTTCGCTTAGAGCTTTCTTTTCAGAACAACAAATCGTCAAGGAAATCTCGTGTAACAATAACGACACCGTTAATCCCTATTAAGAATTCTCTCGACTCACAAGGGACCGAGGAACGGATATTTATGGCTTCAAATAATCAGTATTTTCTTTTGAGTTGAAAACTTTTTTTTATTTCACAAAAATTTAATTATTTCAAATCTTGGAATATAATTAACAAAAAGTGTAAATTTTTATAATAGAAAGGAAAAATTTATTTTCTCCTAATGCGAAGACTTGGACGACTCAACGGATTGAAAGTTAGTGTTTTTAACTAGTAGGTAAACCAACTGTGGAACGGGGAAAATTAGCTCTCCTGTTATATGTATAATTAACATTCTTACAATAATTAAAATATACTATATGGAATAAATGTTCTAGTTTGAAAATTTAATAATTAAAATAAAATTTAATTCTTTCTTAATTCTTAATTAATGTTAACGACTTTAAACTACGTAATAATATTCTCTATTATTGTTCAAAGACTTAGTTTTAATGGCACATTAAGCTTACTTATTTAAAATTAAAACAAAATAATAATTCATATCATAACCGCAGATAATAGAAATTAACAACTTGTGTTAATAAATCAACACCTTTGAAAATGCGATTTTATTTTCAGTTTCTCAAATTCTCACGTTCATATACTATTAAATATAAACATTCTTTTTTGTTCTAATATAAAATTTCTATTAGTTTTCATTAAACTTTGAATAGTTTGTAGGTATATATTAATAAAAACAAATCGAGAACAAATAAAATGGAATTCAGAAACATCAAGTTTATAAGTTTAGAAAAATATTTTTAAAACATGTCAAATATTTGTCTAATACTAAAAATAATATTCTCGTATTTAACACAATAGGCGAATAAAATTATCTAATTGTCTATTAAATAAGTTATAATGTTCGTTTATTTATAAATAATTTTGTTTATCTGCAAGTTGAAAGTTTGATAAAACTTTTCGAAAGATAAAACAAATGTTTATAGTTATAAAATTTGTTAAATTTACTTTATTATTGCACTATTCACACATGCTTTTTAAAAATCACATTTTTTTCGTCAGTCCAGCCATAAACCTGAGACCAAAATAAAATAACAAAAGTCATTAAATATTAAAATTCTAAAAGTCTTCCATTTTATAATGGATACAGTAAAAAATAAACAGAACATTTATTCACTTGATACAAATGTTGTTTTTAGATCCGAAAACAGTTTTATAAAATAAAACACTGTAATAATAATTTTTATTATTTTAAAAAAATTATTTAACATAACCAATTTTTGAGAAACTTGAAAAATAAAAGCATTTATATTTTTTTGAAAATATAAATTTTAAAATAATAGAGAAAATTGAAAATTGAAGAAAAATAATATATTTATGTAGGTAAATGAAAACTAAGCCGTTACTCGTGCCCTTATAGCGAGGAAAGTTGGCATTTTGGTGCATCATCACTTGTTAAATAGCGTTACGTATACGACACTCGCGATTGTTGACGGTAACAGAGATATTTTGGTATCATTGCGCGAAAATGAATATATTGACACGTGGTGTCGATGTGATTAATCGCATATAACGTATTTATAGGCCCGTTTTCTCGGCCTTTATAAAATCATATATTATATATATATCACCAAATCAACAAATAAATATCCTAAATATATATAATATATATGTATATATATTAAATATGTATGTAATATAATAATATGCTCTCCCAACAAATAATATAATATATATTCATCTATTCGAAATATTTAATATAATAATATATTAGGCTGATCTATGTGAAATCTACCCTTGTATCCCGGAAGGGCCCGGGGGCTGATTCACCCCCTCATTTTATGTTTGCCCTCACTATTTTTCAAAACTTTGTTTTTATTATTATTATTCATTATCGTAGTCATCATTTTCGTCGTCGTCCCTTTTTTCTAGTCCTTGACTTTTTTCTCGTCCTCCTTGATCTGCAACTCACAGCCAACCAATTCGTCTAAAATACACGGATGCGCGACTCTCTGGCTAGATTCGCGACCAAAACCCCGTTTCTTAAAGTATTAGCCCTTGACTCGTTGAAAAAAATACGCCATCACGTTTTCTTTTTTTTTTATTTCCAATCCCAGTGTTTCTGCTTTTGCAAGCGTGAAAAAAAAGAAAAAAAATTGTTTCAATTAACGTGGGATCGTCTTGGTATTGCCAGACAATACTGTTTTGTTGAACCTCAAATTTTCTATCGTTCACTTGAAATTATTAACTTAGATTATTATTTTACATGTAGAATAGATAATTATTGCACTAAGTATCTGGGGTAGGCGCGAAGCACAAAAGGATTGCACTTAACTTGCCAATAAGGGTAGTTTTTTGTTTTTTAAGGGAAAAAAATTAAATTGTAAGAAAAACAAATAAAATCTGCTCTTGTACAACGAGGCGCGTCACAGCCGGATTCTCGCGTTGGCCGTCATCCTTTTTCCTTAAACTTTAATCTCGGATTTCGGTTCGCCGAGTTTTTTTTCAAAACACCTCGTCATACCTTGCATGCATAGTTTTTCTCTTTTTCCCCCTTTTTTTCAAGTCAAAGACCGATAGCCAAACGCAGCTATCAGACACGTAATCAGATTAAAGTTCGCATTATTCAATATCAAAATTATTTAAAGAGAAAATTAAAGGAGAATTTCAAGTTTTTAAAATTTTTTGTAAAATTAAGGATTCTTATAGAGAAAATGTCGTTTTAGTTTAAAAAAAATGTTTGTGAATATCTTTAAGTTCGTTAAAAATTAAAACCTATTTAATCGTGTCTGAATTATTGGAAATTGCAATCTGCGCAAGACTAGTAATCCGGTCAGAGACCGAGAACACATGAACTGAGTTAACTTCCGAAGACCTTGCGCATCTTTCGCTAAAGCCTTGTGGATTTATTGAAGCAGTCAGAACCCACTGAATATTCCTCGTGGATCATCTTCCATTTCTGGAGATTGGCAATTTAATTCGTGGCATCCGTATACAATTTTCCTTTTTAGTCTTTAAGTTTTTCTTCCTCTTTTTTTGTCCTTGGCAAAAAAAGATATTCATACATCTCGTTAATATCTCAGACGATGAAAGCATAATATCTTAAGGAAAACGTTATACAATATGTAAGCGTTCGTCTTCTATTTACGGATTTGAGATAAAAATATAAATGTTTCTTAGCAGAAAATTTCAAGTGCATTTTGAATTTTTCATAAATTTCTAACTCGATAAATATATCGGAAATGAAAAGGACTCACCACGAGAAAATTCAGCTCTTGACACGTTCAAGAAACCAAAGGAGGCTTGAGAGAGGAATTTAAAGACCGAAAGCGCTTTTTAACGCGAGATAGTTTCCGGCAGTTTGCCTTGAATGCGAATGCAAAATCACGAGCCTGAGAGTCCGGAGAGAGAGCTGGGAACTAAGTGCCCGAGCGAGATTTCTAAAATCGTGACCCTTTCGTCTTGCATCGTTACATTAGCATCTGTCGCAAAAATCGATCGGTCTCACTTCTTCCTCTAAAATAGAAGTGTAACAAGCTCCGATAAAAAAGAGGATTTTCAAAATCCCTTTCATTTTTCCAACCAACAGAGATGTAATTTTACATCTCGAAATTAAAAATTCCAAATTTTGAATCTCGAATTAAAAAACAACGAGCTAAAATTGTGATTAGCGCTTAAATAAATGGGATAAAATAAGATTGCGTGGGCTAATCAGAAAATGCTTCGCATTCTTTGAGTTTTGGGATGTCGCCTTAATGCCAACCTTGAACCCGTAGCTTGCAGGCTGTTGAGAGCTTGAAGTGCATTTTCCAGTTGAAAATCAGGATGACGAGCTGATCACAAGTAAGTGGCGGCCCTAAGGGTGGCTCGGAGGGCGCGATGAATGGCATGCAATCTCATTAGGCCCCCGAGACTTTGGTCCTGGTGAGTCTCCTCCTCGTCTTCGTCGTCTTCTTCCTCTTCCTCCTCATCCTGGCTCTCATTCCGATTATTGTTCGGGTTTTGGAGGTGTCGTTGTTGATGACGAGGGTGCGGGAGGACGCGGCGAAACATTAGGGTGGACTGCACCCCGCACGCACCCCTTGCCCCCTCTCACTTGTCCTCCGACTCGGCCATGGATGAAGGTTCAGTGTCCTGCCTCTCGCTAAAAACAAATGACAAATTCTTCATTAGTTACTGGCGGGAAATTGCAACAGTTTGCGAATTTAGTCCACGCACTCAATCCAGAACCATTTATATGCTATTTCATTCGGAAAATTTGTTTTCACTCTGTATTTTCTGAAAATCGGTAGTTGACACAATTTTAGGTCAATAAGTTCTAAAAATCAATTGTTACAATTTTCATTTAATAGAAATGATGGCAATTTTCGGTCAAGAGAAATTTATAACAATAAAACTTTGATTATTTAAATCTAATAAGACAATTTTGTTTCAGATTCAAGAGGAAGATTAAAAGTTGGAAAAAAGAAGAATGAAGATTAAAGTAAGTTTCAGAATAGATTATTATCATTGCATGCTCATATCTCTGAATTAGAACGACTTTCATTCTCTAAAGCCAAATGAAATTGCTATCAGAAATAATGAATTCATTAATATTCCATGAAACTGTTTGCCTTTTTTCAAATGAAAATAGAAAAATTACATAATTTAATTCGTGCGAGATTCTTCATTGAAATTCTGATTGGAAATTTTTTAAAAGCAAATCTCACATAGCTGGCCTGAAATTAAAAAAATTAAAGTTCTGTCACTATAAAATTAAAAAATATAGTATCGAAAATCGCGTAATCTTGATTTTATAAAAGACGATTCCATCGCGGTTTAAGGTGACCTGCAAAATCACGTTTAACGCCTTTAAAATTGACTTTCATCTTGAAAGGTCTTTAAATCTTATTTCTCAAAGTGTTTCCTTTCAATGGGAAATTACATTTTCATGTTTCAAGATTCATACAGAAAAGCGTTTACCGAGACAATGAAATCACTGGATTGTTATTGTTACTATGAATTTGTTCAAGTTTCAATTTAAACAAATTAAGTTGCATGGGATTTTAAGAAAACCCACCAACTAATTATCCAGAGTAGTGAGATAATGAACGTCTTATCTTTAAATTTTCAATAGGTGTCATCTTATTCACCAAAAGCCTTTTTTCAAAGATGTCGGATTATTACTCGCAAGCGTGCTCTTTTATTTCTGAAACAATATTAATTCTTGAAAAAGAAAAGAAACTACACTTGGTTCTTTCATTTGACAAATGAAAATAAAGAATGTCTTAAAAATAAAAAAGGCAATTTTTCACAACTTTTATGAAAATCTTATAAAATTATAAATGTAAGAATTTTTTTTTTAATTAATAGTGCGCGTTTTTTGTGAAAACTAGTAAGATGCAAATAAATTGATCAGTATTTGAATTTACGACTTGATTTTGGAAATTCGGTACTAAATAAATCAATCTAACAAGACTTTGGGTGTGATTGTGTTAAAATGAATTAGGAAACTAAGATCGTTAGACCATGTAGAACTTGTTGAATCGAGAGAGTTGAAATTGATTTCTAATCACTTCCGCAAATTTCATCTTCACCTCATTAAGTTGTCAATTTAGAGTCAAAGTAAAATTTTTTTCAAAAATACAATGAATACTTAACGATAAGAAAAAAGTTAGATTACATTTACGTAACGGATGCAATTTTTGGTGTCAGCCAGAATTTTTTTTTTTTTATCAATTTATTCTAATTTCTCTTTTAAGTGTTTTCTCATATAACTCTAACGATGAATATCCAGGTCATGTACTGACTAAAAATGACATTATATACTTATTTTCTCTGTAAAAAATCGAAATTCTCGACTACAGAAAATATTCTCGAATGTCTACAACCCACTTGAATCCATCCCCTTTAATATTATAAAGAAGGCAGAAACCAAGATGAAAAAATTCTATTTCAATCCTCAAACAAAAACAAAAACATTTCTAAAGAAAAAATTGGTTTAAAGGAATAGGTGAAATGAAAAAGTTTGAATTTTCCGAGTGAAAAATATATTTTCTATCTCCTATATTCGTTGACGTAATAAACCTGTCTAAAATAGAAAAAATAACTTTTGGTGATAGAGGACCGCAAACTATTTTCTCTCGATTTTATCTTGTTTTCACAAACTGTGTTTGTCATCCACTCTTCAGACCCGCTCTAACGCAGAATCGAATGTGTTCATTATTATTTATGAAAGACTTTGGATCGAAATTTTCACAATTCCTCGAGCAAAAGATCCTTTACGAAATTCATTTCACGAATGGACTCTTGGACGAAACGGTTCCCGAAATTCAGACAAAGTCAATTTCAAGGAAATAATGCCAAAGATTCCCTAAATTCCAGACACTCTTTTCCTTCTATCTCGATATGTCTCCTGGGGAATATTTCCCGCATTGGAACACAAAAATTTTCGCCTCAAGAACTTTATTAGTTCTAGAGCGATATAGACTGCGGTTGCCTGGCAATGTTTGGAATTCATTGATTTCTATCGACATGCATTCGTTTTCAATCAACAACTGCGAAATGGACAATTTGCGTCAATTTGTAACTCCTGTTATGACAATTAAATCTGAATATCGAAGCCGATTAATAAAGTTTAAAAAAAAAATCAATCGTAATTCAAGTAGAATATTTTTATTGAGTTAATCTTTACAATCTAACTGCAGATACCTTTAGAATTTTTATTTGCGCGCTAATTTAACTTTTTCAAAACATGTACGTCTGCATAAAGATTGGAAACTCACTAACGCTCTAGGTCTAGACTAACTGTCTACTTAAAACTCTCCTGAAAGTCACTCGAATCGAGTAATTAATGCATGTTCAATATTCGTATTTGGAGTAAAATGTAAAAGTTCATTCAGAAGAATATCGACTTTTGTGCTCACGTTTCCAAGTGACTATACTTAACTTTTCTTAATGGACTCTTGAGCAAAAGCTTTATCTTTGGTGGTATTAAGAAGAGATGCCTTAAAAATCTTTTCATCGCTCTCGACACAATTCGTGAAACTTTTATAGGTCCATGTTAGAAGTGAATCGGAAGATTTAAGTTGTCAGGGGCAATTTTTCAAGGAAATGTAATATGCCTGAACGAATGCACGTCAGAATTATTTACAGTCATTCAGTGCTTTCGGTTTCTATCCTCGCAAATGAAGTCATCTTGCCAGACACGACTAACCACTAAAGCCTCTAATACATCGTAAACGTCGGCTTTTCCCATTCATTTCCGACAACTTCTACATCCCTTTACATACTATTTTTTCTGTCGACATTACCCGCATATATGAAGAGATTTTTCTACCCGAGTTTTTACCAGAAAATATGAGTTTTTATTAAAAAATTACAAGATTATTAGAAAATCTAATATTTATGTAATTTCAAAATTTCTTGTGAAAAGTTTCATTTCACTTAAAACATTATGAAAGATATTTGTTCTGGTGTAATTTTTCTTCTCATATATCCCTTTTTGCCTGATGGCAAAGTGTATCTGACAGAAGAAAATACTTTTTCTCCCAAGATTTTTCTCCTTATAACAAGCGGAGAGGAAAGCGCATTTTCAAGTACATTCTTTCGTCTTTATTCATATTTCATAGATGGTATAAAGGTGAAATAGGAGAATTCTTGAGGAATTATCACGGAAACAAAAGGTATGAAAAAAATCCTAGAAGAGTTCATCTATATCTTATGGTTGGCGAAATGAGCTAATTGTAAGAATTTCCCGAAGGGTCTCTCATTTCTTTTTGCCACAGCAAACTCAGCAAAACCTCGAGATGAGATGGCACATGTTGAAAAAAAATAATGGAAAATCAACACTCTTTCTTCATTAGAAAGAGTGCCACATTATATCTATTTTTAATTTAATGAGCTAAAGGTCTCATTAAAGTGTACTTTCAAGACAGTGTCTCAACAAATAGTATTAAGATAACTACCCTTTAAATTTGAATCAGTAGGTATATGAATTCAAATTTAGATTATGGAATTCTGGAAAGGATGATTATAAGGATCTTGAAAGTTCAGTAGAATCTCAAGCGTGCATGGTGTTTGATTAGAGTCAGTTATAAATTAGGTTCATGTGCATTTTCGTTGGTTAAATTTCACTTCAAAGTATAAACAGCTTTCATCGAAATTCCATCTAATAAAGACCTGTGATATTCAACAGAAATGACAATAATAATTAACAAAATTTTCCTTTCGAATCTACAAAAGTGAGGATTTTCATCTTTAATTCTACGAATCTAATTAGGAACTTGCTGATAATATAATAGAGCAATCTATAAAATTCTAATTAGCAATAGAAATAAGCGAGTCTACACTTACAAGATCCCTCGGGATATTCCGAAACTTATACGTTCGAGAAGGTTTCAAAGTTCTCATGACTAACTATAACTAGTTTCCTGAAGCGTTGATGCGTTACGATTAGGAACAAGATGAAATATTTCAATGTCTGTTAAAATTAAGTAATAAATTTTCATATTATTTATAAGTAATATCTTCAAAAAAATGCAACTTATAAAATAAATATTAACGAAATCTTGAAATTACTTTCTAAAATAATGAGATTCACTCAGGAATACAGATTCTTGAATAGAACAAGAAAGCAGGCGACTCCTCTAATTATTCCACGTAGTAAAGAAGATTACATCTCCTTGCTCTTGTACGTGTAAAGGATTATTTGATCGACAAAGCGTATATTAAGCGGAAGTGCGGAGACATTTTTTTTAAATCACAAGGGTGGAAAAAATTTTATGCCCTTTCCTCTGGTTGTGGTTTATTGGATCTAAGAAAAAACATGTCCATTTCTGCCCACTAAAACTTACAACAATCTATCTAGTTGATAAATTGAATGAAAACCGGAAAGAAAACTCGGATATCAAGAGACTATGGAAATGAAATATTCTCTGAATTCTTCATCGAGAGAAGATCGATTGTTAAATTGGCTTCCATTGTGATTTCACTACTTTCCCCTCACCCCTTTACCTCAATGAAAAAAAATTCCTCTCACGAACTGCGTTGGAAAACACAAAATAAAAGTTTTAATCAACAAAGGCCTTTATTAGAAAACAGAACGAAGGTAGATTGAAATTAGAATGAATTCAAGTTTTGCAAATTAATTTTCCACAACAAACTTGTCAAATAAATTTTTCATCACTTAAATTATAAGCAATATTTTTTTTTTATAAGCATATATTCGAGGGGGAATTTACTGGTTAAAAACCATTAGACAGAACTTGATTTTTATACGAATTTTTACTCAACAACATTTTTAGGTAACTAATTTTTATTTCACAGAATTTCTCTTCATCCAACTTTTTATTTAAAACTTTATAATTTAAATTTAATTAGCAGAATTGAGAGAATTTCTATAAAATAAAAATTCGGTACTTAAAAATGGTAATTCGGAAAATAAAAATTCGTTTAAAAAATAATGATATCTAATAAAACTTAAAAAATGAATACATTTTCTCACATAGTAAAGTATTAGAATATTATTTTTCAAGTATCTCTCTCTCTCCTTCTTTCTCTTTTTCTGTGAACTGAGAGAAAAAAAGTTGAGCACCTAATTTTAAATTCTGAAAGCACAAGTGAGATTTTGCTGTTGGGGTCCAAGTCAGCAGAAAAAAGCTGATTGAAGGGAACTAATCGTGGATTCCATGAAAAAGTCGGAAATAAAATGAGATGTTGGCATTTAAAAAGATTGTAAAGAAGAAAAGAGTCCTTAATTAATGTGCAAGCTTACCATATATACCGAATCGACTTCATCTTGAGAGCCGTAGAATTCTCTTTGCACTTGTAGGCCAGGACCTGCTTCACACTACTGACGTCCACCGAAGGGAATCTCGATGTCACGTACGCTGAAACATCAAAGCAAAATATTCCTTTAAGCAGTGTTTCATTAACAGAGTATTGGTCAATATTTAGCAGTAACCTATTATTAATGGTGGCACTTTGCAGTTCCTCAAGGGAACGTTGTAAACAGAGGAGTTTAATCTCATTAATTTACTAAGGTGTCTACCTTCAGGCGAAAGCAAAATTATCTCTTGAATGAAAAAGGCAAAATTCCATTCACTTTTATTTAACAGTCAAACTAGAAATACCTAAATAAAAATTTGGGATTTTGTTTTTTATATCTCGCTATTCAGTTACATAAATAGGAATTGTAAATCGTTCTTTCAGATTTTCTTTTTCGAATATATTTCCCAGAGATTGGAATTTTAATATAACTTGAGATTTTTCGTAATAGAAATGTCCTTTTATGGATTTTAATATGAAATCCGAAAATCCCTCCAAATATCTTTATTTTCGATCAGAAATACCGATAATACTCCTGACGCATGTCAATTCTTCTTCCTATATATATATATATATATTAATTTCTTGATTTTATGTCGAATGGATTTAGTTTGGAGATATGTAACGAAATTGATGGTTTCAAACATTGATAGGATACTGGTCGATTCCTTATAATTTACGATATTTTTTTATATATTGGAATTCATGTCATTTGAAATTATGTTGTCAACTGGAAATGTTCTATTAGTAAATTATATTTATAGTATCAAATTTCCTCTGACCCTTTTTTCGAAGGAGAAAAGTAATATAGAAATTTTTATCTCATCCTTCCTCGGGTTCCATTATATCGACTGTCAATGTAGTTCAAATAATAATCAAACTCGATATTTTCTGTAAGCTCAAACTTTTCCAGAACGAGAAGAAAAAATCAACTATAAGTTACAGGAAGTTTCAGCGCAAAGAAGGGTAATAGATAAAATCCACAACTACTTTTTCCCCCCTTTCCTCAACTAGTCTCAAAGAAAAATATTTCCTACAAGCACTTTTCACTTGAAGGTGCCAATTGCATTTTCAAAAAACACGATATCAAAGAACATTAATGAAAATCTTTTTTAAAAATATTTTCAAAATCTATTATTTTCACAAGTCTGATTTATGAAATGTTGAAATAATCATTTTTTCTCGGTTCATTAAGGGGAGAATTTTTCATGCAAGTTACTTTGCAAAAATATGTAAAGTTGTTCCAGTTGAATGCAAGTCGTTCGTTTATTATCTTATACATTGATGATCGTTGCATCTGTTACAAATGAATGACTTCGATCGATGCTTTAGAAATTCTTCTCTTATTAATCTTGAACTGATTTTTCCTCGCTTGAGTTAACATGGAATTTTCGAGAAATTATGTATGCATTGCATTTATTTCTTCGTACATGAAAATGTAAGTTAATCAAAAAATATCTTCATATAAATATTGACGAAAATTTTTTCAATATCCATCAGATATGAAAATGTCTTTTCAAATTAGTAAAATTAGAAATGTTTATGAAAAAGTTTTTCTTTATGGCTATATTATCTAAAATCACACGTAGACATTTTTTAAGGTGATAATTTATTTGACAATATCTCGATATGAAGCCATCTGATAAACTAATGAAATGATGGGAGAACAGCTAGTTCTATTTTCTCAAAATCGAATTGATTCTCCAGGGATTTCTGACCACCTAAAGAGCGATAAAGGGATTTTCTTATCGTTCTGAGTTATGCTTTAGATTTATTACATACGCGTCAAGTGCAAACTCGTTAAATTTCTACCTAATTTCCTTCTTGAAATTTATTGCCACTTTATCGCAACATTGTCATCGGAAGAAATTATCCGCTTCTTGCGTTTGTCTCCAATTGAATTAGAATTTTTATAAAATAAAAATAATAAATTAAATATTTATTTGATTGAAATACTTTTTTAAGTTGAGTTCGATCAATCGAGACGTGCATGTTATTTGATCGAGATAACAATTCTCAATGTCAGAAGGTCGGCTTTGAAGTTTAGGAAGTAGTCGTAACAGGAAACCATCGTCTGGCGTTAGCAGCGACTGTGGTGATCGTGGTTTGAGACAAGTTGTAACCATTTGTAAAGCTAACGAGTAAAGTGGGTACAGACGTGACCGTGTCGGAGAAATCGGAGAGAGAAGTACGTCGTTAACATTAAAGCCAGAAAGGCACGTGGCTTGCTCAGTTTTGACCTGAAGTTGACTCGCGAAAACCAGAACACCGATCAATATTTCGATGACTAAAGTAGTTAAAGCACCATCCTCAGCTCTCATATATAGTCCAACTTTACAATATTAATTGCTTAAGCGATTGATCATATAGTTTATTTGCTATTAAATTTTTCACCCTGCAAAAACTTTCTCCTTACGACAGTAAGTAAACGTCAAAATATTCAAGTTTCGAGTTAGCATCCCAGGAAAAAATTAATTAAAAAACTTTTGCAAGAATCAATATTTAATTTCTTGGATTAGTTATAGTTCTCAAACTTATGTGTTTGTTGGATGGACACAACAATCGATTAATTATGTACGAACTGCAGAAATAAGTTAATGATTTCATTATTCTCCAAGTGGAACTGAAAATGAATGCTATAGAATCTATAAAATACTCTTTTACAAACAATATTATATTTTAATTCGAGTAAATTTTTTTTCGATTCAAGTTAGAATCCAGAATATTTATCGTGATATTAAATAAAATTTTACAGGAAATCGTTAAAATGCAACGAACTAACGAGCTGGGAGTTAAATTCATCACATCTTCATTATCGAATACCGCAGCTAATCGTAGCTTCAAAAGGTTGTCTGTCAATCACAAAGTCCAGCTATGCATACACGTTTACCATAAATTCTAATCGTCCTGTCCCGACCAATTCGACCGAAATTTGCCACAAACAAACCTCAATTAACTTCACAATTAAATTAACAATTGATATTAAATTCTATCATATAGTCCAAGTAATTGTATATAGTTTATTAAAACGTGTCAAAAATATTTTGACACTTTAAAAACTCTGTTAAAGTACCATCTATTTATACGCATTGACTTAAGAAAAAAATTTCTAAATTATAAACTCGAGCATATAAAAACATCTCCTTTATTGAATAAATGGATAAGGGGCGATAATTTATCACATCTGACAGACTGCATCATAGTATAAACTTTTTGTCAGACATTCTTGACTCGTGAAACATCTTAACCTCGGTCCCGGGAGTTTAAGAAAATGCTCGGCTGTCCAATAGGTGATCTATATATATATATATATATCCTCCCATATCACCTCTTTATGCCACTTGGTTTACCCTGGGGAGAGGTTTTTTTTTCTTTTTTTCCTTCTTTCTTATAAATGAATCTTAAGACGAAACGATTCAAAAAAAAAAAAAATACAATGATAATAAGAGTAAAAAAAAGAAATTCTTCATTCTCAGCGCTTTACTTATTTTATATTCAGATACCAGAATTATCACAAAAGTGAAAAAAAAATTGTTTCATGCACTCTGTGGACAATCTACTAAAAGAAACACACATTTTTAATCTTCTCGAATCTCTAGAATTTAAATTAGTTCTACGAGAATGTGATATGTGGAAAAGTTAAACTAGACTTAACTTTCGACGAACCTAAAAACAAAACAATGTTGTAGGTTAATTAGGTCCCGAGATGCAATTCGTGAAATTGCCAACTATATTTTTAGCCACAATCAGCAATAATGAAGAGTTTTTTTTTAGAAGAATTTTTGTTTCCCTCGAGCAGTTTAACTAAAACAATTGTAATATAGTTTAAAGTTAAATTAAAGAATGTTTTAGATTCAATAGTAATGAAGATACGAGAACCAAAAGCTTTCACGAAAATTAACAAAAACTTGAAACATGTAATAAAACTCCCATTTTTAGGGACATTTTAAGATAAAAAGTTAGATTCTTTTTCAATTTATGGTTTTACTCAAAGTTTTATACTCTAATGTGGATTTTTTCTGGGATAGAATTTAAGGAATGCGTTTTAATATTAAAAAATAGTGAGATTCACGATTTCAAGTATTCGGCGACAAAAAAGAGTAAATATTTCCCAAAAAATAAATAAATTTTTTTCAGTGTAATTTCCCTGTAGGAAATATTATTATTATCTGTAAAATAACTTACATATGATTGCCTGCACTTTTGCTTTATCAAGGGCTGGCTTGACGGGACGTTCTGTAGCCGTTCCTGCACGACTCCAACGTTGTCCCGTGACGGAACACGTCGCTAGTTCCGTAGGACTAAATAAAATTGCTGCAAGACCTCTCGTCAGTTTCCGATAATCACTCCACTTAACGGCTCTCAATTGTTCTTCACAGATTGCAATTCCCTCTCCCAAATGAACCTGAAAAAAAGTCATTTTCAACTTCATTATACAAAATTTTATCTATAATTTACTATTTTTTCAATCAATATAAAATTTACTCAAAAATAATTTAATTTCATGAAAAATTGAAAAAAATTTCCTTCTTTTTTTTGTGGAAAAACTCAGCCTGAAAAATGTGTTGTGAGATTATATTATTAGACTCCGAATTGATTTGAAATTATGTTACATATATTTGAATCCGATAAAGCCTTCAAGTATCTCTCTTTCAATAGAAATAAAATGATTATTGAAATTCTAGTTTTTTTTGAAAAACTATAAAAAAAAACCAAAACGTGTGGGGGTGGTATTGCGGTACTCGAAGTAACAAATTGGCCAATTTGTATGATCAAAACGTTTCAAGTGTAGGATTATTGAGCATCGATATTCTACCTGCATAACCCGTGTAACAATAAGTAGAGGATTTATGCCAAGAAGCTCTTCTAAATCATTCTATAAAAAGTAAAAGCTCCAAATGCAGTGAAATATTAAATTCCCCTTAAAGTGATTTTTATTTAAAAATCACAACTTTCTATATATTATAAGACAAAACGCTTGGCAAATTCAATGTGAAAATCCATTTGGAATTGAGAAAAGAAAATTACTGAAAGTAATAAAAAAAATTTATATCCAAGATTATTTTCAGATTTAATTAAAAATGCACTTTTCGGTGAAAATTTAAGTGGTGAGCCAGAGTAAGGTTCTCTTGTTAGAATTAAGTGCTTGTTTCTACAGTGAATCTCCATATCAGGATAAAATATATATAGGATACATATATATGCAAATAGAAATGACGAAAATGGAATTTTTATCCGTCTAGAATCTTAATCTTTCTTAAATTAAATAAAAATGTGCTAAAAATTATTAGTAATTTAAAGGCTGTCTCTTTTTCTTTAATTATTATACACCGAAAAAAAATTTATTTGATTCAAATAATTGGTTACAAATATTATTAAATGAAATAATTGTTTTTTCAGTTTTCACAAGTTTTCAAGAATAATTAATTAATAATTGAATAAGAAATTATCGAAAATTTGAAAAATCTCTTCTGCAATTCAAGTTCAAGGAAAGGCGAGACTAAGAGAAAGCATTGCGAGAAGGGAATGAGCAGCTGGCATATCGGAATTTGTTCCGGTGTCTGTATTCTTTCTAGAGCTGTCGTTTATTTTAACATGGCTCCCATCTCAATTTCTTGCCTGACGTTTCTCGTCTTATATTTGTTTCTATTGTGAGCTGTTCACTCCATTCGAAATCCTCTTTGTAAGCCAAGTCGAAAAACTCTAAAAGAAAAACTTTCTTGCCAAGTTCTTTAGAATCCAGCTCAATATGATAATGATATTCACAGATTCCATTCAAGGCATCACCACACAGAAGCTTCTTTCACGCAAGCTAAGTCTTTTCAAATTAAACTTCCTATGTCTTTTCATTCTGAAAATGAAATTTCATCGCAGTCTCTCGCGAATTTTGTTGCTGTTGTTACAAAGTATCCTCAATGCTAACGATGTGTGAAAATAATAATAATAGTGGACCTTTTTCTCGTCTTTATAAATTAGTTGGTTCGTTTTATCAGTGGAATCTTATTGGACAAGCGGGAAACGTGCGTCCAGAATAGGGACGTCTCGTTAAATATGTCACCGGCGGCGTTATTAATTACCTCGGCTAATGGTCGATTACCCTGTCCCCCAAGCCTTGGGGGTGATTATCCAAACATACGATGTCACGCAGTTATCTCGCTTTTGCACTTGACCAAGAAAAAAAAGAAAGAAACGAATCATAATATTATCGAGAAATCGGAATCATTTTGGGAACATGAACCGAGATTGTGTTAACGAGACGAACACCAAGAGGGAATTTCCCTCGAGCTCTTGTTATCGATTACTGTTGAACTATACTTCCGTTTTCTAGCAATGGATAGGGTTGTTCGAACAAAAGCAACGTTTGCTGATTTTGGAATTTCATTATGTACCCCTTTTATCTTAAAAGGATGTCTGAGAGAGTTTTTTGCCAAATTCGATTGTCAAATCGTGACTGAATTTCAAAAAGTGAAAGCTGATTTAATATGTGCGCACACAACAATTAAGGAATATTTTTTTAAATTCGCTCACCACACCGTCCGAAGAGGTTTCTTCGAATCCTCGAAAAGCAGGCATGGTGGGTGGAGTTGTCCTCATATCCAGAGGCAACCAGTCACCTCGAGATGGTGAATTTCCATGAATAGACGTCATATGTCTTCCACCTCGCGTTCCTAACCGTGGCCTGCCACGACGAACTCTTTTTGCTGCAAAAAAATAAAAAATCATTTTCTAGCATTTTTTTTTTTTGAAAATTATTTCATTTCTCTTTATAAATTTATAACAAATGAAAACAATAGTCATACAGTAGATAAACTCTTGATAAGTGTCATTTTATTGATTTTCCATTAATAAATTTTGTATTAGATAAAAGAAAGAAAATGTCAATTCTGAATTAAGAAGATTAAATTATCAAAAACATAATAATAGCAATGCAGCCACTTACTAAGATTACTGTTCCAAGCAATATAAATAAATAATAATTATTTAATTGTAAAAAGTTTTTAAACTTATTACAATATATGAAATATATACATACATATATATATATATATATAAAGATGAAGGATTATGAAAATTATTACCTTTTTGATGACAGTTGATGATAAATGTATCGAACGACCTAAGTCCATACGGACATAAATTCTTCATTTCATTTAATATATCATATCAAATGAAATATGAAATCAAATTTCTAACCCTCTAATATGAAATATTTTGAAAGGTCAATTTTACCTTCTCATAATTAATGACAACTCTTATTTTTATACGATATATATATTTTGTTAAAATATGAAAGAAACTGTTATAAATATTTTTAATTTTGATTATATTGAAAAACTTAATTTTACAAATTGATTGATTCCTTGTGTTAAAAAATAGAGATTTTTCTTTGGCATGAGAGAGATATTGCGTTTCTTCAACTTTTGAGAGCGCCATTTACTTGAAACACTTGAAACTGACTTCTTTGGAGTGAACTTAAAAAAGTATTTGTGAAGCCAAAGTTTCTATAGCAGTATGACTGAAAGCAATTTCTTCGATTCCTATTTAAAGTTTGCATTTCGGTCAACGAGTTGTGCTATGGTCGAATCGCCCAAGAGTGCTATTCAATAGGAATCGATGTACATACATGTACCACTCTTTCGACTCTCTTGCCAAGCACTTCTAAAGTACATAAGTAAAAAAACGAGGAAAAATATAGTTAAATCGAAAGGAAACAGAATTACTTAAAAACTGCCCGAAATACATAATTTAGACATTATACCTCACAACTTTATTTCACTTCAATTTATTATTTATTTTGCGCACTTTTTGTACCCAAGAGATGTTAATTTAGTACTATTATCTTCGTTAATGACATTTTTATTTGGCTTAGTTATGTGTATGAGTAAATAATTTTGTTTCGCTATTCAGTATTAAAAAACTGTATTGATATTTAAAAAAAAGAAGGAATAAAAGCCGAAAAATCAAAAATAATCAGTGTATAAAGGAGATGGTAATTTCACTATAAAATGATCGATTAACTGAATTCAATGAAACAAATCGTTTGAACCTTCATTTAATGTTTTCAACTCAATGCCCTTGCCGTCCAGCGTTAATTCCACCAATTATATTCATATATATGATCTACATTCAAATAGAAAGCTTTGAAGTGAAAAATTCTCTTGAATAAATCAAATTTTTTTCACCAATTCTTTATTATTTTTTATTATCCAATTTTAATTATTGGAATCATTAAAATTTGACGCAGATCGAGTCCTCTTGGTTTTAATTACAAAGGAGTTAAGGGATCAAAGGGAATTTAGTCTGCTTATATATAGCTTTGGATTAAAGACTTGAAATGGAAATCGTCGAGATCCTCATCTCTATTCAATATATAATATTTTGTTTAATCAAGATCAGAAACAAAACTTAAATGGCGGTCATGAATAATAATTTAAATCGAGTAAATTATAGACATCTCAAATCAAGAACCGCATATAGATATACGTTCTATAAAAAAGATTTTTAATTAAAATTACATCAATTCGAAAAGTGTACGTTAAAAATAAAGTAAAATTCAAATAAGAAAAACTTTGTGTTGAGAATTAAACAAGAACTAAATATTTTGAAATTTACTAATTTAATATTTATTTTATTAATAAGATAAAAACTCAATCGGGCTCTTTTAACAATTCTTCATTTTTGCTAGAAAAAAAGAAATTTTATATGTTGTTGCCGATTACATCAGACTAATAATAGTATTATGTAAACAAAATGTACAAGTTTATTGAAATCTTATATCTATAAAAAAATTGGGTTTACATATTTCATTGCACTTTCATAAGTCGAAATAATTCTTATTTTTTAATTCGCGTTTATAAAAATTGAATTATTAAAAATAAAACCAGTCGTAACAATTTTTCACAAAGTAAAATAGCGCGATGGTCAAATAAATGAAATTCGTAAAGTTACATTAATGAATAGCTCTATCGATAGAGGATGCCTCTTTGTATCTATTTCCTGATAAAATTTATTCTATACATGTTACGAATATACAGGGATTTATCAAGATATACTGAAGCAAATGTCGATTTTTATCCGGTGAAAGATTTAGGGCTTTAAAGCAGTAAAAAAAAATTGAGGCAAAAAAATTTATTTGCTGGTCATTAAAGAGAACAATGAAGTGTAATAATAAATAACCGAAAATTAAAAAGTGCTTTTGTAGAAAACAATGCCTTAATTGAATTGCAATTTGAAAAAGAAAATGCTTCCTTTATCCATATAGGGTGGATGCATTAATTGATTTCATAAATTTTATCATTTTTCGTTTCTCCACTTTTTTCACTATTTTTCATACATATTATTATTTATTTCAAAAGCAATGCAATGCATAATTTATACAGAGGAAAAGTACACTTTACTGTTATCGAATAAATGTTTATTTATACTAAATAATTATTATTTGGTAATAGTTAAGTAAAACCGATTATTTGAATGAAATAAATTTTTGTTGAATGTAATGAATGAAATTATTGGCCATTGTGGACTCGAGGTGATAATTCAGTTAAATAATCTTACGAGTTTCAGTGAAATGAATTTTCTGACAATGGTAACTTTGGGGAGTGTATTAATAAGTCTCAGTTGACAAATGAGAAGGTAAACCACATTTGCTCCAGTAATCAAGAATGTAAATTTGAATTAAGTAGGATCATAACCGACACCGTACGACTCGATATCAGGCCGTCGATTCTGAGCGTTCTCAAATTTAACGGATGCATTGGAATGTGGATCTGCATAATCGTCAAGATTGAGTGTTGTTGATTGGCTGGGAAATGATGACTGCCTATGAATTTGTGAATCGAGTGACAATAGTTTCACTGATGGTGGCACTATGGGCTTTCTTTGAAGCGAAGTGATTTCGAGAAGATCGGTGGCGGTGGGATGTGCCGATCTGACATGACGACGCAAGTTGCTGTTGTTGCTGTAGATGCGAGGGCAGACAGGACAGACACGAGGTGAGTCCCAGCAGGTGCCACCTCCTGGTTCCCCAGTTCCGGTTATCGACACAGAGCTGCTTCCAAATGCAAATGCCTCGTCTGCAAACACGGTCTCGGCTGCAACACACCACCGGACCAAATCTCAATTAGTCCCATCGACGTCGTCATTTCGCCATCGTTTACAAACCACCGCCATCGTCCATCTCTGCTTTTAATCGGATTTTTTTATTCTAATCTAATCTTTCCTCTTATGATGAGTCGTACGCATTATAATAGTCATTTGCTTATTGCCAAATTACCCAAAAATAAACTAAAAGGTTATTGGACAAAAGGGTTACAATTCTACAGACGGACAGACGGACGGACGGTCAGGTTAACTAAATGTTTATATATATATATATTTTTTTAATATGTAACTCATAAAAAAGAAAGTGCTAAATTCAACAATTTCTCATTTTAGTCAATTTTTTAAATTTTTCACTTGCTTTTTCAAAAAAATATATGTATAAAATCCAATATAAGTAAATTTTTAATTTATAAAAAATTATTTCTGTGTATAGTAAATTAAAATGGAAGATTATAAGATGCTATGACTATTGAAAAATATTTGTTTCTCATTAATATATTAGATAATGAGACTATACAGTTTTGATATATAATAATATTTTAACCTGGAGTGCTGTCTCCTTAGGATATTGATAAGTAAACAAGTATGATATTAGTTTCCAAATAATTACGTTTAATATCCTCATAATTTCCGTATCATCAAAGTCTCTATTGTTGCATACATTCCATTGAAAATTATTTGAGAGAGAATATTGTTAGCTATCTGGTTGAAACAGAAATAGTTTAAGGATCGTTGTTAATGTTGTTGTTCTTTGAGAAAGTGACAATTAAAATTAATTATGTTGATATTAATTAAAATTCTTTTACATAAATCCACTACCCTATGTAGTGGTAAATAGCTAAAGAATTTAAATAAAAATTAAATAATAAACCGCAAAGTTTGTGGTTCGTTAAATCATGAACGTCTTGGAAGGCATCAAAGACACTTGTTAAAATTTCAATGAAGAACGTATTTACGATACACGACTTTAAAAGTCTGCAAACAACTTTTCAAGTGTCTTAAATATTTTATCAAGTTTAATGGAACCTATGTTAGACACTGTATTCTGTTATCTATGACAAGGATAGTAACAAAAGCCAAAACATAAATATTTTTTAAAAGACAATATTGAAACACGTATATTTTTTGTTAGACCGAAACAGTTTAGTTTCGTCTACGTAGATTGGATGCTCAAAATAAAATTGAATAAAAATTAAAAAATGGAAACGAAAAAGCCAATAAATTAACTGAAATTTTAAAAGAATTTTTATATAAATCATAAAGAAGTACAAATGTATCAGGCGGTTGCTTCTTTTTACTCCTCAGTGGAAATGACACTAAATTATCACCATTTGACAAGGGCATATGGTGCAAAGTCGACGAAAACTGTTCACTTGAAATAAATCATGGCTATGATTTGAAAGAGAAAAACATACACGTGCTCCAATATAAAGATTTCACTATGTTTTATATATGAGCAATAATTTTTTTCTAGCTATTGCAGAGAGTTGGAATTTTTTTTCTAAATTGTTCTATTATATACATAATACATTAAAATTATTTGACACCATTTTCTTGGAATAGATAATTTAAATTTTGTTTAAATATTTTATCGAAATCA